GTTTGGGAATGTTAAACTACCACATATAGGTTGGTGGGATCAACTGTAAATATTTTGTGTCTAGATATTTTTGGCCATATATTAAATTCAGTAGCTTTAAAATCCTGACCAATTACTGTGACCAGTTACTGTCACTGACATTGTGTTTGTTTATGTTTCCTCTCTTAAGTTGCTGGGAGATGAGAAGGAGTGAATGGATCTGGTGGATTCTCAGACTTCCTGTTCTACTCTTCATTATAGTCAGTTCTTCTTTATGTTGATCTTTCTGTAAAAAAAATGATTGCATGCTCCAAAAGCTTCCTTGTGATTGCTCTGGACACTAGCAGGTTGCTAAGGACACCAGAAGTTTGCATCCCATAATACAAGGACCTACAATCTACTGACCAAATGGTATTGGAAGTGCAAAGAGTGCAACACAAACCAGAAATGGAGAACATTTACCTTCACAGTACAAGTTGTATCTGTGAAATGTGTTGGTCACAAACTTCAGGTGCAACGAGATTTCACGGTTTCTGGTTTGGATCACACTTTTTCAAGTTTCACTATAATTCCATGAAAATGGAAGGCCAGACAAGTCAGCTTCTTCCTTGTGTAAGGGGAATGTTGGTGCAGCACACTCTTTCCAACTGATTCCCCCAAACAACAGCCACCAGTCTCCGGCAATCACTTGACAGCCATTCACAGAAAGCTGTGGTGGATCTTTAGTATTAAATTTCTGTATGGCTGTAAATACTTAATCTTTTATGATGAGCATAGACACACTTTCACTTTAAGACATTATTAAAACTGTGGGTTATAATATATAATATATATATATAATATAATATAATTAACTATGGTTCCAGAAATGAGCCCAACAGGAAACAGTCACATCAAAAACAACAAAGCAGAGATCCAATAAAGAGTGTTTACACTGTAGCAAGGCAGCAGTTTCTAATAATTGTGTGAAAGCGTCGTTCATCCCAGGGAGCAGCGCCTGAAGCTGAAGCTCTGCCTGATTTGTTTTCCAGGTGAACTTGTTGTTCTTCCTGTGTATCCTAAAAATACTGGTGGCCAAGCTGAGGACACAAGACATGCCCGGCAATGAATTCAATCACTACAGGTGAGTGACTTCAGTTTTCTATTCCACAGAACTGTGAAATGATCCCAGTCAAAGCTAACCAAGCGCCTTGAGGCAATTGTTGTTGTGATTTGGCACTATATGAATAAAATAAAACCAAATTGAATTAAAGAAGCTGGGTGGTGCAAAACGTCGTTTCAATGAAACCTTTTACTCCAACGTTTGTTTGCTGAGGGCAAGAAATGAGATAGAGGACATACAAACAGCATACAAACTGTATGTGTGGGGTGGCTGTAGTTCAGGTGGTAGAGCAGGTCAGTGGTTCAATCCCAGGCTGCTCCAGTCTGCATGTCAAGTATCCTTGGGCAAGATACCAACCCCATGTTGCTCTCCCATGCATCCATCAGAGTGAATGGTGCATGAATGTTAGATAGAGCACTTAAGAGCTTAGAAGAATGTGTGATTGGATGAATGAATTCGTTGTATAAAGCGCTTTGAGTGCTCAGACAGAGTCCATTTACCGTTCTTCACTGACGTGTTGAAGGCAGAGAAGTTGCGGTGATGCATTTGATGAGTGTATAAAGATTAATCTGGCTTTTAGGTGGAAGAAGTAATTGGTTTCAGCTCACCTAGCAGAAAATAAGAAAAGCCTCTTTTATTCAAAAAAAATGCTCATGATTCAGTAACATTGATTAAACAGGTCCAGTGTTAGTATCACTACTAGGGATGCACCGATACCGATACTGGTATCGGGTATCGGGGCCGATACTGTAAAATGTGTGTGTACTCA